AAGACAGATGCACCCCTATGTTTATCGCAGCACTATTTACAATAGCCATGAAATGGAAGCAACCTAAGTTTCCATCAGTAGATGAATGGATAAAGAAGATGTGGTACATATACACAATGGAATATTATTCAGCCATAAGAAGAAAACAAGTCCGACCATTTGTAGCAACATGGATGGAGCTAGAGAGTATTAAGCTCAGTGAAATAAGCCAGGCAGAGAAAAACAAGTACCAAATGATTTCCCTCATTTGTGGAGTATAAGAACAAAGAAAAACTTAAGGATCAAAACAGCAGCAGAATCACAGAATCCAAGAATGGACTAACAGTTACCAACGGGAAAGGGACTGTGGATGATGGGTGGGAGAGGAGTGATAAGAACAGTGAAAAACAAGGGGCATTACAATTAGCATGTATAATATAGAGGGGGGGCAAGAGGAAGGCTGTATGACACAGTGAAGACAAGTAGTGATTCTACAGCATCTTAGCATCTTACTATGCTGATGGACAGTGACTGTAATGGGGTTTGCGGCGGTACTTGGTGAAGGGGGGAGCCTAGTAAACATAATGTTCTTCATGTAATTGTAAATTAATGATACCAAAATAAAAGAAAATGGAAAAAAATTGAGTGGTGAATCCACCTGGTTCAGTGGTTTTGTTCTTGAGTAGTTTTTTGATTACCTATTCAGTTTTGTTGCTGGTAATTGATCTGTTTATATTTTCTGTTGTTCCTTGGTCAGCCTTGGAAGGTTGTATTTTTCTAGGAAGCTGTACATTTCTTTTTGGTTATCCAGTTTTTTAGTGTATACATTTTCATAGTATTCTCTAATAATTCTTTGTATTTCTGTGGGGTCCATCGTGATTTTTCCTTTCTCATTTCTGATTCTGATGATGTGTGTTGATTCTCTTTTTCTCTTAATAAGTCTGGCTAGAGGCTTATCTATTTTGTCTATATTCTCAAAGAATCAGCTCTTGGCTTCATTAATTTTTTTCTATTGTTTTATTATTCTCAATTTTATTTATTTCTTCTCTGATCTTTATTATGTCCCTCCTTCTGCTCACTTTGGGCTTAATCTGTTCTTCTTTTTCTAGTTTCAATAGTTGTGAATTTAGGCTATTCATTTGGGATTGTTCTTCCTTCTTTAAATATGCCTGGATTGCTATATACTTTCATTTTGGAACTACCTTTGTTATGTCCCACAGAAGGTGGGGCATTGTGCTCTTGTTCTCATTTGTCTCCATATATTGCTTGATCTCTGTTTTAATTTGGTCATTGATCCATTGATTATTTAGAAGCATGTTGTTCATACTCCATGTGTTTGTGAGCCTTTTGTTTTCTTTGTACAATTTATTTCTAGTTTTATACTTTTGTGATCTCAGAAGTTGGTTGGTAGAATTTCAATCTTTTTGAATTTACTGAGGCTTTTTTGGCCTAGTTTGTGGTCTACTTTGGAAATGTTCCATGTTCACTTGAGAAGAATATGTACCCTGTCACTTTTGGGTGGAGTGTTCTCTATATGTCTGTTATGTCCATCTGTTCTAATGTTTTGTTCAGTGCCTCTGTGTCCTTACTTATTTTCTGTCTGGTGGATCTGTCCTTGGAGTGAGTAGTGTGTTGAAGTCTCCTAAAATGAATGCATTGCATTCTATTTCTTCATTTAATTCTGTTTGTATTTGTTTCACATATGTTCATACTCCTGTGTAGCTTGCAAAGATATTCATAATGGTTATATCCTCTTGTTGGATTGGCCCTTTTATCATTATGTAATGTCCTTCTTTGTCTCTTGTGACTTTCTTTGTTTTGAAGTCTATTTTTACTGCAACTCTTGCTTTTTTCTCCCAATTAGTTGCATGAAATATCCTTCTCCATCCCTTCACTTTTAATCTGTGTATGTCTTTGGGTTTGAGGTGAGTCTCTTGTAGACAGCATATAGATGGGTCTTGCTTTTTTATCCATTTAGTGACTCTTTGTCTTTTGATTGGTCCATTCAGTCCATTTATATTTAGGGTGATTATGTATAGATATATACTTATTGCCATTGCAGGCTTTGGATTCATGGTTACCAAAGGTTCAAGGGCAGCTTCTTTACTATCTAGCACTCTACCTTAACTCACTTATTATGCTATGATAACACAGTCTGATGATTCCTTTTTTTCTTCCTTCTTTTTCTTCCTCCTCCACTTTTTATATAGTAGGTGTCATATTCTGTATTATTATTGTATCCCTTGACTGACTTTATGAGTAGCTGATTTAATTGTGCATTTGGTTATATTTAGTTGGTCTACTTCCTTTGCTGTGGTTTCATTTTCTCTGGTGACAGCTATTTAGCCTTAGGATCACTTCCATCTAGAGCAGTCCCTTTAAAATACAATGTAGAGATGGTTTATGTGAGGTAAATTCCCTCAACTTTTGCTTATCTGGAAATTGTTTTATCCTTCCTTCATATTTAAATGATAATCTTGCCAAGTAGAGTATTCTTGGTTCGAGGCCCTTCTGTTTCATTGCATTAAATACATCGTGCCACTCCCTTCTGGCCTGGAGCATTTCTGCTGAGAATTCTGATGATAGCCTAATGGGTTTTCCTTTGTAGGTGATCTTTTTTCTCCTTCTGGCTGCTTTTAATAGTCTGTCCTTGTTCTTGATCTTTGCCATTTTAATTATTATATGTCTTGGTGTTGTCCTCCTTGGGTCACTTGTGTTGGGAGATCTGTGGACTTCCATGGCTTGAGAGACTATATTTTTCCCCAGACTGGGGAAGTTTTCAGTAATTATTTCTTCAAACACCCTTTCTATCCCTTTTTTCTCTCTCTTCTTCTTCTGGTACCCCTATAATGTGAATATTGTTCCATTTGGATTGGTCACACAGTTCTCTTAATATTCTTTCATTCCTAGATTCCTAGAGATCCTTTTCTCTCTCTCTGCCTCAGATTCTCTGTATTCCTGTTCTGACATCTTTTCCATTCACTGTCTCCTCTACCTCACCTAATCTGCTTTTAAATCCCTCCATTGTTTGTTTCATTTCAGTTATCTCCCTCCTGAATTCTTCCCTTAGCTCTTGAATATTTTTCTGTAGCTCCATTAGCATGCTTATGACTTTTATTTTGAATTCTTTTTCAGGAAGATTGATTACTTTAGTCTCACCAAGCCCTCTTTCTGGTGTTTGAGGGATTTTGTATTGAACAAGGTCCTTCTGCCTTTTCATAGTCCTGGAAAATGGGAGTGGTCACAGGCGAGTGGCACTAGTGTTGACTGGGGATACAAAGTCCCTTCCTACTTGCCACTCAAAGTGCCTGTCTCTGCTGTCTGTGCTGGTTAACTGCATGCAGGGAGCAGCCTCTGGGTTTATCCCTTAAGCTGCCATGGGCGGGGCACCCCTCAGATGGCTTTGGGTAATGGCAGGGGTCTCTGGCATGCAGCATGGGTGTTTTCAGGGAGGGCAAAACCCTTTTGTTCTTCCCAGTTACTGTGCCTGTCTCTGCTGTCTGGGCTGGTTAGCTGTGCACAGGAAGAAGTCTCTGAGTTAAGCTGTGTAGTTGCTGTAAACAGGCTTGCCCTCTGCTAGTCTGCAGCAATGGCAGGGACAGTGGGTTTGCACACAGGTGCTGTTGGGGTAAAAGGAGAGGTAGGTTGCTTATTGCAATGAAGGGCCTCTGGGCTTCATTCCCAACCAGGGGGATAGGGCACCTAAATCTCCTGAAAGTTCCCAACCTGCTGCACTGAGTGTGCCAGGACGATTTTGTCCACCTGTTCCTTCACTTAAACCCTTGCCCCTTTAGCAGCCTTCTGACTGTTGAGAAGTCTTTGAAAGCACTTGCTTTTCTTTTGTCCCAGAGCAACCAGTTGTGTGAACCTGTTCATAGTCTTAGTCTCTAACTTTGGTTTTCAGCCCCTCTAATCTCCAGAGCACCATGCAGTGTGGGTCTGTGCTCCCAGGGTAGATTTATTTATCAGTTCTGTGCTTCCACTCCCTCCCTGCTCTGATTCCCTTCCTCCCACCAGTGAGCTGGGGTGGGGGGAGTGCTCGGGTCCCACCAGGTCACAGCTTTTTACCTTATCCTTTTCGGTGAGATGTTGACTTCTCCCAGATGTAGACTGGCTGGTGTACTCTTACTTCTGGTCACTCTTTTAGGAATAGTTGTATTTGCTGTATTTTCAAAATATATGTGGTTCTGGGAGGAGATTTCCACCACACTTCTCATGCCGCCACCTTTTCTCCTTCTATTCCTGCCATATTTGACTCTGTTTCTGTGTTTGTTTATGCTCTTTAAACTGTGTTTCTTGCATTTTAGTATGCCTTTCATTTTGGGTTGAAAAGTGAACATAATGTGACAAGTAAAAGGAAATGTGGCAAATAGTCATTAGTAATATAGNACACCTCATGCCTAGAGAGCCTGCTGCTGAGGTGACTCAGTGAGGCTGGACCAGGAGGGGTGTCGGGGAGGGAGAAGGGTGGAAGGTAGTGCAGCGTGGTCAGAGGAACTCAGACTCCAACCACAGACAGAGGGTTTCCAGGCCCAGCTCTGCCACGGACTGGCTCTGTGACTGTAGGCAGGTGGTTGTACCTCTCTAGCTCCATGTGTAGAATGGGGATCTTAAAAGGAGTTACTTCTTAAGGTTGATAATAGGTGAAATGAGGTGATTCATACAGAGCGCTCAAAACAAGGACAGGCACACTTGTAAGTGCTCAGTACACATTAGTTACCACAATCACGATGAAGAGACTAACCACAACAGACAGAATCAAAAGTAGAGGAGTCAGTATTTGCAATAGCCAAGACATGGAAGCAACCTAAGTGTCCATCAATAGACGAATGGATAAAGAAGATGTGGTACATATACACAATGGAATATTATTCAGCCGTAAAAAAGAAAGAAGTCCTGCTACCTGTGACAACATGGTGGGCCTAGGGGATATTACGGTAAGTGGAATAAACCAGGTGGAGAAAGACAAGTACCAGATGATTTCACTTATTTGTGGAATAAAAAGCAAAGCAAAACAGAAGGAAGAAAACAGCAGTAGACTCATAGACACTAAAAAGGGACTGTTGGTCACCAAAGAGGAGGGGTTGGGGTGAGTTGCAGGGGGAGGGTGAAGGAGATAAAGGGGCACAATAATTCACAATCACATATAAGTTGGTCACCGGGACAGTAATACAGAACGGAGAATACGGTTAATGATTCTGTAAATCTTCTACCGTTGATAGTGACTGCTAGACTAGAGGGGGTGAGGATTTAATAATATGGGTAACTGTTGAGCCACTCTGTTGTATATTTGAGACCAACATGAGATGAGATTGTGTATCAACGATACTTTAATGAAAAAAAAGCCAAACAAACACTGAAGGAGCCAGAAAGAGCCACCGCTTCCCCAAAGCTGGGAGAATTTGCCTGGGACAAATTCCAGAGGGGCAGGTGTGTCTTGAGCTCTCACTGTTGAGGCCCAGTGCCTAGCAGCAAAGCCAGGACTTGTATGGTCACTGTCATTGGTGAGTCCGCAGGTTCCAGATCTACAAATGCTGTTGATGGTGACTGGCCTCCTGGTCACTGGTCTGACTCCCACACAGCCCATCAGACCAACTGCTGTGAACCTTCTGGCACCAGGGCAGGCTCCCATCCACACCCTGCCCTCCTCCTGGATTCTCTGTGGGGAGCGGGGAAGGTGGAAACACAGGGCCCCGCGGTAGCTGCATCCAAAAGAGCAGAGCTTCAGCCTTCTTTGTGTCAAGGTTTTGTGGGCAAGGGCAGCAGAAACTTTCCTAAGAAGCCCTGGGGCCACTGGTGAGAGGCCTGGGGTGAGGACCTGGCCTGGGAGGGTGGGCAGTGGCAATATTAATCACGTAGATAGATGGAAGACACATGTGGCAAGCAGGAGACACTCCTTGCGGGCAAAATATCTTCCTCAGGGGGAGCTGGGAGAGATTGCCCACTGGGTTAGAGAGGAGCTTAAATCGCGCGAGCCGGAACTTGACCTATCCCCAACCAAACCCCTCATCAAGGCAACAAATTCTGGCCTCTGGGCTGTACAGATAGAGAATTTTGGATTCTCAGGCAGCACCGAGAACAGGTTCCATCCATCAAAGCATGCCCTAGGATGCTTGTGCTCTTCCCACACAGGTAAGTGTGGAGAAGGGGCTTGGAAGTCCCAAGATGGAAGTGACAGGTAAGAGGAGCAGGTGCCACAGGGGAGAGGGCTGGCCACAGGCTTGCCAAGCCCAGCCCCTCCCTCCCCAGGAAGGAAATGGAAAGCTGGGAAGCCCTGAGCCCAAGTCTCTACTGTGCCCCGCCCCCACCTCACCGTGAGCCTCTCCTCACACTGGGCGCCCTGCCTCCTTGGAGCTCCAAGCCCTTGCTCCTGGCGCGGATGCTGGCGCATGGTCCTGCAGTGCTCGGGCGTTCACCTGAGGGAGCATGCAACGTGTGCACAAGGACGTGCTGCCAGGTTTCCTTCCAGACCACGCTGAGGGAGCCCCTTCCTGATGGCCGCTTGATGGTGAGTATGCGTGGCATCTGCTGCCAGAAAGACCGACAGGCAGGGCTGGTTGGATGGCCCTGCCCTGCCCACCTGGGCTTCCTGAGGCTGCCAGGGGAGAGTGAGTGACCGGTGCCTCATTTGCCCCGCATGTGGCAAGTGGGAGTAAATTTGTACCGAGGATATGGTGCTCACTAGAGAGTTGCTTTAGTGACCTGGAAGGTAGCTGGCTGTCAGCTTCTTCCTGAGTTGAGGGTAGCTGGCTTAGACATCAGGGCTAAGGTCAAGAAGAGGGGCCAGGGCTAAGGTCAGGGGCCCTCTCTTGAGGACTCCACACTCTGGACCTTGAATGATATTCTTTCCTACCGGTGTCCCTTAAGTCATTTTCATTCCCTCTCAGTTTCTACCCCCTTCTCCCCTTACACCCTCATGCTCACCCTGTCACCCCCTTTCCTTATTTTTCTTCTTTCTCTTTCTCCTTCTCCCTCCTCTTTCCTCCTCCCTGCCTGTGCCTAGCAAGGCTGTCAGCTCTCAGCAATGAAGCTCTGGCTAAATTCTGACCTTCTCGTCAAGTGAACCCAAGTCAGCTAGTACATATCTCTCAAGTACCTGCCAAGTGTACAGGTGGCAGGCGCTGTGCAGAAATGAAGCTGAATGTAAGACAAGGCCCCACCCTCAATGCACTTACAATCAAGTTGGGAAGATGAGGAGGCGTGCTCGCGTGAAAAGGTCACTAGCAAGTCAGAGGCAGCAAGGCATGTTGGATTTAGGTAGGTTCTAAGCAAGTGGGGCTGAGTAACCTTGCTTTAAGTCTAAAAGGGCACCAGACTATCCCAGGAAGGGGGAGGAGGCAGTAGGAGCTCAGGTCATTTCCCCAGCTGAGGCCCATCCTCCAACAGTAAAGGCCAGGGCCCCTGCTTACTGTGCATGTGCCACAGGGTGAGTACCTCACTGAACAGTGTCTTTCTTGCTCAGAACAAAAGCACTGTGGCAGAGTTGTTGTGGAATGGCTGGACTCTTTTGATGGTGGTGCCTTAAGGATTCGGGTCCACAGTCATAACTACAGTGAGTGGGCTGCTCTTACAGGCCCTGGATGAAAACTCAGGATTGCCCTAGAGACCTGACCCACCCACCCCAAAGACTAGGCCCTTAAGAGAGTGGGCTTCTGGGGGCTGTGCTGTTTTCTGGCCTCTAGAAACAAAGGGTATTTGGCCTAGAAGGGAAAATCTACCTGCTGAGTGAAACAGACACTGCCAGCCACGTGTACGTGGCACACAGGGATAGGCAGGGTATACCAGAGAAATTTGAACACATGGGAAGGATTTTTGTTTTCTTAAGGCAGTAATGCTCAGTGCTTTTATTGCCTTCCCTACCTGTTTTCTCCTGCCTTTGGAAGTACAGTTCTTTGCTGAATGCCAGTCTCGCTAGATAACCTAAAATCTGCATCAGCGTACTTGGGAGAGAAAAAATTCTGGGACTGTCCCATGTGTCTCGTCTCACAGTAGAATAATTTGAGTATCACAAAAGTGTCAGGGAAATCTTGGTAAGTTCTCACCCCCTCTACCCTCTACCCTCATCTAGAAGCCTCCTGTTGAGGGCAGCTGGTTTCAGTCCCATCCACTTACGTTCCTTCAGAAGAGGACAAGTGGCAACTGCTGAGACAGGTAACCAAGCACTAGGTTCTCACAGTGGCTCTAAGCTGGATTTTCCTCTCTGCTCTCAGAAAATACCTTCAGAGCAATTGGTATCTCTATGGAGATTAGTATTGTCTGTTGTCTTTTGTTTGCAGGGCTCTGTTAATAACCTTAGGCGTGATCATTTTCTAAGAGGGAACCTAAGATGGCTGCTGTCACCTATTTGGTTTTGCACTGGGCCTGATGCTCCTCCCGGCATCACATTTGGGTAAGTGCCTTTGGGCGGCCTGGGGGTGGACTGGACAGCTGTTCAAGGGGTGCTTAGCAATGATCCCTTCCACACGCACAGGGTTGTGTGTACAGTTGCAAACCACTTCGCATACACGACTTCATGAGTCTCAGACACCCAGGGACGTATGTGGAGCACATACTATCCTTACTTGAAAGATGGGAGACCCGAGTCTCAGAGCAGTGAAGTGACCTGCCTAAGGTCACACAGCTGACAGGTGATGGAGCCTCCTGACATGATGGTCCTCCCCACACTCCAAGTCTCCACATCGCATATCAACTCTTCAGAAAATAAACTGTCCTGGGAGGGCCTGTGCTGCGCACTTTATGACACTGAGAAGCATTGCTGGCATCTATCCACTAGAAGTCAGTAGCGCCTTTCCCAACCCTTCATGCGGTGACAATGAAAAAATGTCTCCAGACTTTCCAAACGTGCTCCCAGAGTTGGGGGCAAACTCACCCTGGTTGAGACCCACTGCTTTCAGTCCTTCAGCTGGGCAGAGGTATGGAAGTCACCACCTCCCTCTCCTGCTTCCTGCTCTGCAGGGGCTCCTGATTACCCTCAGGAGAAAGTCCAAAACCCTGGAGACGTTCCAGGTCCTTCTTGTTCTGGTCCCTGTCCACTTCACCAGCCCCCTTTCCCTCTCCATCCTGTCTCGCTCTGCTCTACTTCTGCACAACTGCTTGTAGATCTTTCCCACACAGCCATTCTAGTTTGTGTCCCCAGACGCACGCTGTTTTCTCTTGGTGGAATGTCCTCCACTCCATTGTTTATCTCATAAATCCTACCCAATCTTCAAGACGCTGCCTATTGTGGGCACCACCCGGAAACTTTCCCTAAGCCCTTTCCCTTTCCTTCCCACCAGAGGTTTGGGTCAAGCCCCACCTGTGTTCCCAACAGCACCTTCTGCAAACTTTTGTCATAGCATTCATGACCCACTCTGTAATTGACTCTGCCACTCACACTGAGCTCCTAAAGGGCAAAGCTGTCTTAGTCAAATCTGAGGAACAGCACCTGGCATGTACCATGTACTCTGCCGGGTTTATTGAACCACGAACAGTAAAAGTACACTAGGTTGGGAGTCAAAACACCAGGATTCTAGGCCCATTTCTGCCACTAGCTAGCTAAATGACTGCTTCCCATTCCTGAACCTTTGTTTCTTCAACTGAAGAATCACAATGTGGACTAAACGTCTAAGGGTCCTTGTAAGTTGGAATTGTTGATTCCAGAATATTCTTTTCCTGTAAGTATTCTACTTAAAAATGTTTCCCAAACAAAGGGCAGGGCCGTCCTCTTCCTCTCCCTTCTGAATGTAAATGTTCCCTCTTACCTTTTTCAGTCTTCTGACTGTCTCTAGAAATAACTGGCAGCCTGGTACATGTGATGTGAAACAAGAACTGTTCTTCCAAACAAGAACATAAAGGTAAACTGTCAGATGTTAGTTACAGAAAACAGAAGAATGTGTGTACGTATTTATATGTGCATAAAGAGACACCTTCAGGGTGTTGTGACAATGGGGCAGCTGCTTGGCAGGGGATTAGAGCAAGTCTTCTCAATGAATACCTTATGCTGTTCGATTTCTGAACCAAACGAATGGCATTGCTTCCCACGCATCATTTCAGCTGGCCTTAAGAGCAGGTGACCTATGCACCCAAGGTCAGTGGCTGGACCACGTCACAGCTGTTTTCCCTTCTGGCTAATCGTACCTGCAAAAATCAAGAGAAATGCAGGCTACAAAACACCACTATAATCTTCTAGCTTCACGGTGTTTTAATGTAGTTCACTCCCTGGCAGTAAAGTATAAAATAAGGTTAAATTTCATAGTAGGTGCCACAAAAAGGAGAGGCAGAGAATTCAGACCCTAATGGTAAACCTGACCAACTGATTTGTCTTTTTGTAGCTCCTCCCTATACAGCCCTGACATTCATCTAGGGAGATATACTTTTTTTTAAATTAAGGTATCATCGATACACAATCTTACAAAGGTTTCACATGAGCAACATTGTGGTTTCAACATTCACCCATATTATCAAGTCTCCCCCACACACATCCCATTGCAGTCACTGTCTATCAGCATAGTAAGATGCTATAGAGTCATTACCTGTCTTCTCTAAGGAGATATACTTAATGGGTGATCCCAACCTAGAGGCACAGTAGAGAGAGATCAGACCTCAAAATTAAGATTTCATAATGTTGTCAATGTCTTCTGTATCCCTATCTGTAGTACCTGCCCTCTTGCTTCCTTTCAGAGATAGTTTACCTAACAATCAACTAAATGAGGCCTGTATGGCACTAAATGTAGACCAGAGGTTGTAACCATGACCATGGCTTTCCTTGAACAGTCTCATCATCACAGGGTGGCACAATATAAAGTATTACCCTAAGTGGGAATGCCACCTCCTTCCTCTGTAAGCCCTGCCCTGTAAGATGAGGACGACAGAAACCACACAGTACAAGTGTGTTTTGGGTCATCAGCAGATCAAATGTTAAACTGGATACAAGATGGAATGCAGAACAATTTAGTCTTCTCACCTAGAGGTTCTGCAGTCACCTGCAATGTTGATCTATATCCATGGAGTATCACTATCTTTACAGTAGTTATACCTCTTCAGATCTTATTGTTTGGTTACCTTGAGCATTGAACATGCAACTCTATTACAAGTGGCCAGTACACTCATCTTTATGAACGTGATTATTGCTGCTCCATACTAAAATGAAGAGCAGCATTTAGGCAATCACTGTGTGTCAGGTACATAATGCATGGAAGTGGAAAGTGTAATCTGTTTTAAAAGCATCCTAACTGGAATACTAAACACTATAGGATTCATCCAGAAAAGGAACTAGAAAAAAAAGTACTACTTTTTCTGTATTCTCCCAGGAATCTCTTTGGAAACAATGTTTTCAAATATATTAATACCTATTATAAGAGTAGCAACTATCATTTATGACACATTAGGTGCTGGGCACAATGGTTACGTGCCTGGTGTACATATGTCTATAATTTTACAAGCCTCAGTGGCCTTCTGGTTTTTTTTTTAAGTGATAAAGCTACATTGGGTAGATTGATTAATCTTCAATAGTACTATTTAAAAAAGTAAAGAAAACCTGTGATTTTACTTTTTTGTTTTTATTATGAACTACATAATATACTGCATGCAACATAATACACAGCATAACCTTCTAGCAGGGGTAGATGAGCGTAACTGAGTTGTTTTTCATCAATCAGGAAAATCCTTCCTTAATCAATGTTCTCCAAGCCCTGAAAAACAGTTTAAAAGGTGAAATGTGAGAATTCTGTTCCCATAAAAAATGTACATGTACTTTTATAATTCTGGTGTCACCAAATGGCATTCTCTGCTATTAAAGTACTTTCACATCCCACATTTCTCTAACTGCAACAATAAATTGGACTGAATTTTATAATAGCTAAAGTAAAAAAAAAACTATGATTCCTAGTTTTCATTTTCTGACAGCAGCAAACCTATTGCTTTATATGAAAAGATACCCTCTCTTCCATCACAACAAAAGTCAAGCAACTAGTTACAATCTGGATCTTTCTGAAAGTACTTTTAACAAGTCCACGGACAGTAAGGTAAAACCATCTTATAAAATAACAGCAAACACAAGAAAGCTACTATTAGCCTCATTCTATTTTTTTTTTTTTTTTACAGATGAAGAAACAAAGGCTCAGAGAGATTAAAAGTCTTGATTAATTAAGTCGGTAAGGAAGAAGCAGAGCCACAATTCAAGTTCAAGGGCCCCAACTCCAGAACTATTGCCCTGTAAGAAGTATGACACCATTTATATTCAGAAGGGCCACTCTACCTCAGTTTGCAACGAAATACTCAAGAAACTAAAGTAAAACATTAATCATTGATGGCATTTCTACTACCAGATGTAAAAATAACACGATCCAGTTATTTTGTTTACTATGACAAAAATCTTCTTGAAAAAAATTAAAATTGGATGGTTCTAGGAGCCACCTTATAGAAATCCTAATTCATTTGGTCTGGCCAGGGGCCTACGAATCTGCATTTTGTGCCATATGTCAGGTGATTCTGATGGTCGTTCTTGGGCCATACTTTGAAAAAGACTGCTCTGGATGAGTAGGTATCTATCATCATGGCCATTAGATTAGATTCACAAATAGCATTATACTGAGAGGCAGATCACCTAGGTTGAGTCCTTATAGTGTTATTAATCACTCTTACCCTCTGTTTTCTCATCTATAAAATGGAATTAATCTTTATGTAAGTTTGCTGTGAGGAATAAAAGAGCAAGAAGAAAATATTAAAAAGCAACTAAAATTTTCAAAAATAATAATGAGGACCCAACTATAAGATATAAGAACATACTATAAGGTTGAACCATATGAAAATGCCACTAGGCCATTTCTAACCTACAAAAACAGCAATTTCATATGATTCTATCAAATATAAAATTATAATTAATTCTTTATATATGGTATTGGTGCACAAATTGGCAAACCAATGGCATAGAGATGGGCACATTCATGAAACAGGCCCATGTTTATATGGAAATTTAGTTTACTAGAATGGTGTTTCAAATAAAAAACAGACTGTTCTACACATGGACATAAGTTGTGATACCTGGCTATCTCTTGGGAAAAAAAAAAGTTAAATCTTGGCTTCAAATTATACCCCAAGATGACCTGTAGATGGGTCAAAGCACTAAACATAGAAAAAGAAAAGAAACTCCAACATATCTGAGAAATTGTAAGAATATACTTTTATCATCTTGGGTAGGAAAGTCATTTATAAGCAGGACATAAAACCCAAAACCGACAGAGGATTAAAGATGGAGGCATGAGAGGTGAAACAGAGGCCTCCTCCTAAAACTGCATATAATACGAAAATATAAGTAATACAACTAATCCTGAAAGAGCAACAGGAAGAAGGATGCGCCAGACTGCATACACCTGGAGAAAAGAACAGAACTCACGGAACAGGGTAACGTACCAAAGCTGTGACCCAGCGGGACCCAAGCCCTTCCCCCACCCCAGCTCACTGGCGGGAGGAAGAAAAATGGAGCGGGGAGGGAGTGGAGGCCTGGGACTGCTCAACACCTACCTCTGGAGATGTACTCTGGGAGCACAAACCTACACTGCATGCTGCTCTGGTGATTAGCAGGGTTGGAAAGCTAAGACAGGCAGAATACCTGGAGAGACTGATATTCCAGCCGCTTGTGGAAAACAGGGATCCACATCCGCCTGCTCTGGGAGAACAGAAAGGTGGGCAGTCTGAGAGACTTCCTAACAGCAAGAGGGCTGCTAAAGGGGCAAGGCTTGCACAGAGCTTACTACTCAGGAGAAAGGACACATAGACAAAAGTCTCTGGGTGCACTCTGGCCAGCAGGTTGCGAACTTTCACGATCTTCAGGCACTCCAGCCCCCTGGCTAGCTATGCAGTTATGAGGCCCCCCCACTGTGATACGCTGCCTGCTGTGACTTCCTCCCAGCCACCCCGCACCTGGCTCGCAAACCGGCAAACCCTGCCCTGGCATCAGGCCACCCAGAGGGAAGCCCCCCCTATAGCATCTACAAATGCAAAGCACAGAGGCTTATACCTCTGTGCTCGGACCACTGGTTCGGGCAGTGGAGGCAGGCATAGCAGCCGGGAAGCAGGAAACAGCTCTTTCCTCCCCCCAGGCACCAACACCGCTCCCCTGTAACCCCCGACATTGCTGCAGGGGCTGAGCAGCTCCAGGGAGTAGAGCTTCTTGGCACCAGAGGGTGCCACATACAAATATGAAACGTCAAAGGAACCTGTTTCAAAGCAAATTCATACATACACCAGAAAAAGACTCAAATGAAACCAATCTCATGAATCTTCCTAAAAGAGATTTCAAAATAAAAATCATAAACATGCTCATGGAGGTACAGAAAAATATTCAAGAACTCAGGAATGAATCCCGTTCGGAGATCCAATCATGACGGAACACAGTATCAGAAATGAAACATACAATGGAAGGTTTTAAAAGCAGATTTAAAACGGTGGAGGAGATGATAAATGAAACAAATTAGAGAAGAGGAATACATAGAGGCTGAGGCACAGAGAGAAAGGTTTTAAAAGCAGATTAAAAACAGTCGAGGGGATGATAAATGAAACAGAAATTAGAGGAGAGATATACAAAGAAGCTGAGGCACAGAGAGAAAAAAGGATCTCTAAGAATGAAAGAATATTGAGAGAACTGTGTGACCAATCCAAATGGAACAATATTTGTATTATAGGGGTAATTGTCTTTGAGGAGGTAATTGCTGAAAACTTCTCCAATCTTGGGAAGGAGATAGTCTCTCAGGCCATGGAGGAGCACAGATCTCCCAACACAAGGGACCCAAGGAAGACAACACCAAGACATATAATAATTAAAATGGCAAAGATCAAGGATAAGGACAGACTCATAAAAGCAGCCAGAGAGATAATATTCTTCATGTAATTGTAGATTAATGATAAGAAAAATAAAAATAAAAAAAAAGAAAGGGGGAGGATTACTCCCTGATAGGATAAAAT